CACACACACACCAAGACAATCACAAAGGCATCCACTCCAAAACGATATTCATTATTCATGTCCCATGACATGCAAGGAAATTAACCCACATTTCACAATGATCAACTTGTTTTCTTGATTCCCTCCCCTTACACATAACAATTCATGGCCGAAACAACTTGCTCCTTACTTACTAAATTTAAATGGTCTAAATGAGGGGGTATACAACGTTTACAAAGTTAATACATTTAGGGTTACACTTTGTCTTTCTCCCGTGTGGGCTGAAAGAGAGATAAAAAAAAAGAAAAGAAAGAAAAAGCTGCGTGCGATCAGTGAGACGTGTAGGTTAAGTATTATTTTTAATGTATCTCTGTTGAGAGTGCTTTATTTTTGGTTACAGGGTTACGGTAAGTTTTGGGTTAAAGTTAGAGTTAAGGTTAGGGTCTATATTTTTATCGTTTTCTTATTCTCGTTCATCAGCTTCAGGATTAGGGTTATGATTGTAATGTTACCCAAATATTTTAAATACCATTCGGTTTCTGAGTCTTCAGGTTTACAACATTTGAATTTAGCTCAGTCAGTATGTAATATCATGTATCGATTCTTTTAGTATCTGTATTTGTTAGCTTTTCTTTGGTAGCCGAAGATCAAAGTGTTGGCTCCTCCGTGGTGGAGCGAGGTCAAGTGCGAAGATAGACATTACGCCTGAGGCTGTCTAGTTTTCTGCCTAACTGACCTTCTTCTTATTGTGAAGAAAACAATTTAATAGACTGACTCAAAATGACCACGAAAACGTTCTTGTGGCTTCTGGTTTATAACAATAAAAGTGTAATATATTATAACCCTTTATGAATGTGAAAGGTGAAAACGTTTGAAAACGTTTTTGTTCGGGGAAGGAAGGGAGGGAGGAGGGGCGAATAAACGTTTATTCTCTTAGATCTGGTCTAAAATAGCCTTCGTTGTATAAATGTACTGTCTTGTCAGAACTGGTCACCTCAGTATTGTACTATGTAATAAAGCCCCAGCTCTGCCGTCTTGTATACGACTCAAAGCTTTGGCACTGAACATTCTCCAAAGTTATAAACCACATCGGCAGAGGCACAAAAGAGGTCAATGTCGACGAAAAGACCCATTGGTTTTTCATTTTATTCATCGCTGTAAAATGCAAAGGGAGTCATAAAAGGTCAACACATTATACTTATTGTACAAGTAGGCCTACATGAACACATGTCAACACAAAGGCATGATTCAAAATACAGCATAACTTAGCATAAGTATTCAATATACGTGGTTGTTGTGTCAAATTGCGTACAAAGGTGTCAGCCGATCAGTTCATTAAAAAAACAACCCCAATATCTTTGCTACATGATGAGGTGTTGAATAAAACAATAAAAACTCGGTCTGTCTTTTCGCAGCAAATGATTTGCCTAAATACATCTAATGACAGAAAATACGGGGTCATGTGACAGTATGTGATGTTGTTTAAGCCACGCCCCCCCCCCCAATAAAAAAACAACAGCAACAAACCTCCCCCCCAAAAAAAAACAACAACCAAAAACAAGAACAACCCAAAACAACAACAACAACATCAACAACAACAACAACAACAACAACAACAACAACATCACTTCTCTTGTTTTGAAAGTGCGTGCGTGCGTGCGTGCGTGCGTGCGTGCGTGCGTGCGTGCGTGCGTGCGTGCGTGCGCCCAGATAAAACTAATTACAAAAGACCTATATGCCACACGCGGACGAAGGAAGTATACAGGGCATTTTCTTAAAAAGAGAGGCTCTTATTATGTCACGCAGTGACCAGTCATTACTGGCCAAAATCAGGACCAGTCACTTCTCTGGGCTGCGGGCCTACAAAAATAGAATAGACAGAACATCGGACCCAACCTGTCTATTGTGCAGCGAGGAGCCCCAAGATTTGGAGCACTGGCTGCAGAGATGCCCCGCCACAGAGGCCCGCTGGTGGCATCTCTTCGGGGGGGGGGGGGATTCAGGGAGGTTGGACTGCCTCACCCGCTACCCAAGGGAGGCGGTGGCCCTGGCGAAGAGCACGCTCTTCGGGGCTCCAAACATTTCGAACGGATAGGCTACCACACACACACACACAACAACAACAACAACAACAACAACAACAACAACAACAACAACAACAACAAACTAAACAATAGCAACAAAACTATAAACCCAGCATGCTCATGGAGAAAATTATTGATTTTTAAAAAATAAGTGCAAAGCACTCGTAAAATCTTATGTCCATATAGATCTATGTCCATCGGGTCCGGTCGGTCAAGATCTAAATCATTTGACCCAAGCTCCAATGTCACCAATCTTTTTGTTAACCTAAATTCCCCTGATCCCAAAACAAAAACATCTGATAAAAAAGCAACACCCCCCCCCTCCGAAATAAAAAAGCCATACCATAATAACTGCCGATATCCCGCATGCACTTTTCAGCAGCAGCTACTTACTTGGCTCCCATGGGAAGAATGATACGCATTACGAGCATCATGATGATACCAAAAGATAACTTACGTCACATAATGTATGACCTTTGACACCAACATAAATATAAAGGCAGTAGGAAAGCAAAATACTGTAATTACGACTGGTTTATATTTCTGGCAATATAGTAATTATAGACTTTGTAAGAGAACGAAAACAAAAACTACAGTGGGTTTGTCCAGCAATGCCGAAGGGCTGAGGGGTTAAAAGGGGCGACCAAAGCCTTATATTTGAGACTTATGACATAATTTATTCCTCGCTGTACAGTGCGAAGGAAGTGAACAAAGGATTAAATCGGTACAGGTCGACAAAAAAGCATTCGAAATTAAGAAAAAATAAAGCAGTTAAATAAATATCAAATGGCACGTTTGTGTATCCCTGTCCATGTATACATTTGGAATTTCTCTAAAGACACTATTGGGGGGCTCTCGTGGCCTAGAGGTTAAGGTGTTGGCCTCTCATTCAAAGGTCCTGGGTTCGAATCCGGGTAGTGACCGAACAATTTTCTTCTCTAAATTTGTCTCCTTTCACCTCCTTTCCTGCTCTCTAGCAATGTTCTGTCGTCTGCTTTCGTCTCCCCTTTCTGCCCCCCACTCCCTCATCTCCTTTGCCCCCTCCTCTGGGCTCCTGATTCTTTCTACAGCCTTTCTACTGCTACTCCTTGGCTTCTTCTTACTGCTGTCTTTCAGCCACACCCCAGATCTTCTGGTAGGAAAGATCTACACCTAGCCTTCTCGGACAAGGGCGAAAAATCTCGGAGGACCCGTGTGCAAGTTGCGCACGTTAAAGATCCCTTGGTGGTCTAAAATCGATAAGAGTAGGCTTCGCCGTAAAACACTTACAAAAACAAAAAAAAAGACACTATTGGTAACTCCTTTGCAATTATTTGTCGTATTACGTATACTGGTTCAAGTAAGCTTAATAATGTTTATTAAATACTTCAGAAAAGAACAGAAGTCACTCTTTACTTGTCTCAGCTTCTCGGCGATTCCTCAGTCTGCACTTGAACGGTGGTGCCTGTCTTATGACCCCCTTCAGGTTGTCTCTCGGGTCACAGGATGGTAGAGGTTCGTTCTCCGGAGGAAAGAGGTCAAATTTCTGGAGGATCGACACAACGAACAGGAAGACACGAGATCTGGCAAACGCCTCACCAGGACACATTCTGATCCCATGTCCAAAGGGCAGAATCCTGTAGAAATGAACAGTAACAAAGAATTTTTACTCTAATTCTGTTGAGTCTTATTCAAAACATTGAAAATGAAATACCCACAGAAAATGAGTACGGTAATTACGAAAGAAAGTTTGTAATGTTGTTGTTCATTGTTATGACAACAGATGGATCGGGAGTTGTTGTTTTTTTCCCGCTTATGTGAGAAACACATCGACACCTCGACACCATAACGGTCATTTATTGAAAGTGAAAAGCAAAACAGAAATTCTAGAATACTAGAAGAGCCTACCATTGCGCCCTCCCACAAAGACCTGTTGTGAGAGTACGTATAAGAAGGATTTAGGAAAAGGGGGCCCACAGCTATAACCTCGTTCAGATTCTTATGAAGACCTTTCATTTGCAACACAATTTGCTACCTATATTGCTATAGCGGCTAGCTAGCTTGGCTTTCACATTCAAAATGGATCTCTTTAGGCGAAATATATTATTATCTATACATATTATTATATTTGTGAAAGTTCGTCACTTTGGCCGTCTAAAACTTCGGAACCAGTTTATTTTTGAATTTGACAAAATAAATTGTGGTTCAGAATCATTTAAAGGGTGCACAGTTCTATTGAGGAGCCTAAAGTCATTGTAGTTTAATTTTCCATTTTTCATTAGTTTCTTTTTGATCTAATCTCGGGCAAGTACGTCTTCTAAGACGCCATTGTAAACAAGTGAGGTTTCCATTCTATACCCGGGCGCACTGTTTCCATACCTTTGAAATTCAGAAGTATACAACCACGAAAGCGGAATAGAGAATCAATCTATACATCACTATATCTAAACCTTCTTTTTTTCATCTCTCAGGATTTATTGCTCCCTTCCAGTAGAGTGTAAATATAGTAGGCCTATAACTTTCAGTTGATGTTAATGCACCGATCATTCCTTTCATCGAAAGGGACCCCGGCTAGTTATTTTATGTTTGTGAAAGTTCATCATTTTGGTCGCTTAAAGCTTCCGAACCACTTAACTTTCGAATTCGAAAAAAATTAACAGTGGTTCAAAATCATTCAAAGGGTGCACAGTTATATTAAGGAGTCTGAAGTTTTTGATTAGTTTAGTTAAGATCTAATCTTGGGAAAGTCCGTCTTCTAAGACACTATTAAACAAGTGAGGTTTCCATTCACAAACAGTTCGCACTGTTTCCACAATGACTTGACGATCGATTCTTTTGAGTCCCTTCATCGAACGGGTACAAAACTAGTATTTTAGTTTTATATTACGTAAAAACAGTTTCTAGTGCACTTGAATCGATCTTAGGGGTTTTGAACATGTTGAATTCGCTGGGGAAAAAAGAAAGCAAAAGGGGTAGAGGCAAACAACGTCATAAGAAACATTTTCAACAGGTGGGTGACTGGAAACACAACAATGTAGATAATTTTACGTTGATTTTTAGACTCGAACTCACTTTTTGCGCACTGGATGATTGGCTGGCAGTATGACTCCACTCTCATCTAAAAATCGTTCAGGCTTGAACTTCCAGGGATCGTCCCAGATTTTAGGGTCATGATGGAAGAGCCATGAGTTTGCCAGAAACTGAAAGGAAAGTGATAATTTTAAAACACAAGAAGAAAGTTGAGTTTCTATCTTCAAACGTTTCTTATTGGCGTTGCATCCATATAAATATACGATCAAATGCAGTAAATCGACATATTTATATTAGCATCCTCCTTTTCAGAAAGTGCTCGCGCGCCCGCATGCGCACGCGCTCTTGTGCATGTGTGTGTGTGTGTGTGTGTGTGTGTGTGTGTGTGTGTGTGTGTGTGTGTGTGTGTGTGTGTGTGTGTGTGTGTGCATGTGTGTGAGTGTGGGTGTGTGTTTGTTTGGGTAAGTGTTTTACGGCGCTCGCAACTGCATTATAAGGTCTAATGAGCGCATGGGACACATTAAACATTTTCAGTTGGTAGGCAATTTTGAATTTTGCCCGGGTGGCGGCCGAAGCCTACTCTTATCGATTGTGGACCACAAGGGATCTGGAACGTGCGCAACTTGTACACGAGACCTCCGAGATTTTTCTCCTTTGTCCGAGAAGACTAGGTGTAGATCTTTCCTACCATAAGATCACAGGTGTGGTTGAAAGACATCAGTAAGAAAGAGCCAAGGAGAATCAGTAGAAAATCTGCAGAGTCAGGAGCACAGAGGAAGCTGGCAAAGGAGGTGAGAGGGTGGGTGCAGAAGGTGGAGACGAAAGCAGACGACAGACCTTTATTATCATATTTTTAGGTCGCTTATCGAGGCGTACAATTTCTGCAAGTCAGTGTTGTACTTCCCTTGGGAAAATAAATTATAATAAAAAATTAGATGTTTGAGAGAAAAGATCAAATGCGTCTGCTCGTCTCTTATCACTTCACTATCTTAGAATCACAAAGTTCTACCTGACATTAATTTTTGCCGTTTTGAGTTATTTAAACAGTGAGGTCAAGCACTAAATGGTCTATCTGTTCTATCAAAATAGTAAGATTATTCGGCTCTGTATCAAGATATTCCAAGAATTGCATTTGAGAAAGCTTAGACCTAACCATGTTTTGAAACTCACAATTTTGGACGTCAAATTTATCAAAACTAGGTAATAAGCAGATAGAACTTTGTAATTGAAGACCTGAGAACAACGAGGTTAGGTCACATTTTCGTAAAAATAGAGCTCTGCATATTATATTATTGTTATCATTCGAAAGCGGCGACAAAGGGTCCGCTATAAGTAGCACTGACGAAGCGCTATTCTGTTCCAGGCCTACGCCCAGTTCCAGATATTCTTTTTCAGAGATGCAAAGCCTGAATGTAAAAAGAAGGTCAAGTAAAAAAACCCACAACTCTATTTAAGCCCTCTTATCGAAACTTGAATGTATTTCACGAATGAGGTTTTTGCGCAAATCTAAATGTGACTTGACCTTGGTGTAGTTCTCAGGTCCTCAACTCTCTCTCTCTTTCTCTCTCTCTCTCTCTCTCTCTCTCTC